GGCCAGGTTGGATGAGGCTTGGAGCAACCTGGGCTATGGAAGGTGTCCCTGCCCGTGGCAGGGGGTGGGACTGGGTGGTCCAGCCCAACCCTTCTGTGATTCTATGACCTTTTAACCTATTATTTTGACTACATAATATACTGGAATAAAACTATACACTCACATCTCGTATAATCTAAGCAGCATTTCATTTTTTGTGTAAGTGGCTGCTTTGTTAATCTCTCTTGGGAGAATTTGGAAAACAGTTTCACAGCTGTTACAGGTTCTGTTTGTACAGGCGATGGTACAGAAACCAGAAGGCTCAGTGGAGCAAACAGAGCGGGGCCAGGCCAGGGGATTCCTTCTCTGTGGGTTTAGCAAGAGGTGAAACACAGCAATGGTTTTTGACCATGGAAAAAAGTTCCTTTTTCCATTTCTTTCCCACATCTGATCTGTTCTGGTTTTAGCTCTTTGCATTTTCAGAACAGATGGAGAATAGTAAAACGTGTGTCTGCATTGTGAGCCAGTCTGTGGATCTTAAGTAGCAGGACTGCCAGAACTACCTATTGTGTACACCAGTATTGGTTCACGGGGGTTTGTTTGGGGCTTTTTCCTCTTCTACTGCCACTTCGTACCAAACCCTTTGGTCTTGTTAGCTCTTTAGAGGAAGGTGGGCGAGCCATGTCCCCCAGCCATGCTCGCGCAGCCCGGGGCGGGCGGCAAGACGCGGCTGCAACGCGTGCTTACTTCAAGCTCCAGGATCCTGAACTCCAGGAGCTCGTTTTGGTCCTTGACGTCTTGGACATCATGTTTTAAGCGAGCTTCCTCGGCTTCCATTTGTTTTATCTGCAAAATACAGCATCAGGTGTCAGCACCGTTTGCAGCGTCACTCGAGACGCGCTGCGCTTTGTGCCAGGGACACTCCAGGGCCAGCGCCAGCACGGTGGGTCCGAGCCCACCTCTGGGGTCAGCAGGAGTGGGGGCCACAGCACCAGCGCTGGTGCCCACAACCACGTCCTCACACTAGGACATTTTATGGGGAAACAGGGAATGCCCGAAAACCACTTTTTCTGGCAGGTTTATAAGGATCCTGTTATTGTACGTGAACTATTTCCAGTAGAGCTGTGTGACACATTAAAATACTGCACCCTCTGCATTGCTTAAGCCACAGATATTATCTGAATAATACAAATAGCAACACTGAACACCTTTTCTACCAGTTCTTGGTTTCTTCTATACAACGCTTGCTTCTCCTCAATCCACTTCATGTCCTGGGAAAAGAAATGACCAACACTGCAGGTGAAGCTGGCAATGTTTAGCACAAACACAGGAGCACGTACTTCATGAACGCGCACGCCTAGAGAAGAGGGACAGAACAATATTGCATATGAAACCGTAATTCCACTATGCCCCCTGACAGGAAAGCTCCCCCCTTCCCTCTCATTTTAGCAGTCTGTAGTATACAAATGGAATAGAAACGCTCTGATGGTTAAAAAACTGTGCTCAGATAAGATTGGTTTGCATCAAAAGGGCTATTTCTGGCTATGCAGTGACCATTAAATTTCAATTATACTGAATACGAACTACATATTTCTGAACGCTAGGCAAAATACACCTTATTTTGGAACAAATTGCTAAGTTTGATGGATATATAAGAGCCACGAACCCCAGAATATTATTTATCAGTAAGGTTAGCAGTAGTAAGAGGTTAAGCTGGAAAGGTAAGCATCAAGTGATTTAGTATATTTTAACATTCTCACAAAACATTTTATGGTTCTGCATGGGTTGGTTGGTTGGGGTTTTTTTGGTCTGGAAAAGTAAGACACAGGGTAGAAACAGCCTGGGAATGTTTCTTGTATTTCCAGCTTGGGGCTGGATATTTGCAGCCTGCAACGTTCCATGCTCCAGGCTATCCCAAGGCTAGAGGTGTGCCCGACCCCTTGGCACCCTTGGATGCCAGCCTGTGGGTGGCTTTAAGCCCTGCACCCTCCCAGCCGCAGGAGCATTTTCCTGGTAACGGTTCCCTGCGTTAAGCTGCTCTGGCACATCCCCAGACCGCACGAGCTCAGGGGTGGCTTTAAGCCCTGCACCCTCCCAGCCGCAGGAGCATTTTCCTGGTAACGGTTCCCTGCGTTATGCTGCTCTGGCACATCCCCGAGCTCAGTGCCAGGACTGAGCCGGTCACCGGGGCCAGGAGGAGGGTGCGGCGTGGTGGAGTAGAGGTGCTCAGCCAGCATTGTCCGGGTGATCCCTGATTGCAGAGGTGTGGACGTGGGCGCAGGATCCTCCTGCATCCCAGGGAACGCACAAGCATGCTGGAGGCATTCAGGACCATTCGGCTCCACAGGCTGGGAAGCAGAATTCCCATCTCCATAAAGCCCTTTCTGCTGGGGGAACGTGAGAAGGGAGAATTTTCGAACAGTAGCGAGGCCAGGCCATGTGCGAATGGCCAATATTCGGAGCTCAGCACCTCAGTCCAAAGGGATCCCAATGGCACGACACCGCCAGGAGTATAACACATCCGTGCCAGGGGCTGAATGTCACCCACCGAAAGCTGCAGTGGCACCCAAACCTGCCAAGACCTGGAGTGAGGCTCAAGGTCAGCCCAAGGTGAGAGACTGCTGAGCCAGCCTTGACTGAGCCGGCATGCAGAGGCAGACACCTCGCAGTGAGCTCGGAAATGAAAACTGCCGAGTGCAAGCCTTAACACATCAGAGCAAAATAAGACATCTGAATAATGGCTGAGGGGGTGAAAAAGGCAGAGCTCAACAGACGTTCGGTTGGATGTAGCGTGCTTCCTGTTAATCGTGCAGACTGCATTTCCTGGAGTGCAGTTTGGTAGATTGTTCAATTGTGTTTCAAATTAATCCCTTCTGAAAGGGTGGCTGAGGCGGTTTGTCGAGCTACTGCGTGAGCAGGCTGCGCGGTGAGCTACGCGAACGGCCGAACCGCGCAGCCCAACCCGCCCCGGCGCACGGATTTCCTCCGACCTTGCAGAAAGCACTCACAGCAGTTTTTCACACGCTGAGAACCACTTCGGTTTTGCTGGGAACGCACAGCCTGCGCTGGGCACTTCCCCCTGCCTTCAAACCTTTAACCACGCTCAATCTAACACCTGCTTTTCTCCTGTTTAGAGTAACGTGGTGGGTTGCTAGGAGGGAGGCTGCTGGCAAGGAAAGCTCACTGTCGTATTCACTAAAAAATAAATATTCCTCCTTTATTTTACCTTCCCAGCGTCCTCCAAGGTATGTAAAGTACTGGTAGTCTGTGGGATTTTGGAGTAGAGCAACTGGCCAAACACAGCCGTTCCCTCTCCTTACCACAGTGCTCCCTCAGTATTCACACACATCTTCAGATTGATAAGGGAGCTGACCTGGTGTTCATCTTCAGATTGATAAGGGAGCTGACCTGGTGTTCATCTTCAGATTGATAAGGGAGCTGACCTGGTGTTCATGATTTCTCGTTCAGGAGGTGCACAACGACACACAGAGCGCAGTTCCAAGGTAGGGGCAGTGGAGGGCTGGAGGAGGGCTAATGGGCACGGCTGCCAGTGGATGCCAAACCGGGGAATTAAGGCTGAGATCAGCAAAGATACACGGGGCGTTGTGGGGTGGTGTTTGAGGAGTTGGCGTGTAAGCACGGATGGGGACGCAGGGCTTGGGGGTTGCTTGAGATACTAATGCATGTAAACGTGGGGAGGGGGGGTTGATAAGCCCTTGCCTGCTTCACTCTCCCAGAAACCAAGCAGACCACGTGTATTACATTCTTTCTTGTCAATTAATTGGCAGGTTTACTGAAACAGTGCCCGGCAGTTACACTGATGTCTCCTAAATCAGGGTGCAGGGTGGGTCACTACAGTGCACGTGGGCAGGGACAGTAATTGCCTCCCTAGTTCTCTCTGCTGTGGCTGAAATGAACCAGCCGTTGAAAAGTCACATCAGGATTATGCTGCACATCAACACCCCTCGCACCCGCGGGGTTATAGGGTAGCACCAACAGCCACGTGTCTACAGCCTGCTCCCGCCCCTGGCACGACGGCTGGAGGAAGGGCCACGGGCATTACCTGTCCCTGCTCGGCAAGGGCCTTCTCCAGGTCCTCTATCTGAGCCTGAGATCGGTGTATTTCTGCTTGGAGCTGCTCACGTGTCTGTAGGATACGAGGGAAAAAGAGAAAAAATAATAAATCAGACTTTCTCTAGAAGTCAAAAGCTAACACAGGTACAGAAAATACTTTAAAATGTCATGTACTTTTAACAAATAACTGTTAGAGTTAAAGAATAAATTTGCAGCTAAGCCCAAAACATCAGTCATCAGTCAGAAAACGTCTGTGAGGTAGGATAATAACTTCGAGGCTTAAGCCAAGATTAACACAAACAGCATCCCATTAGGCAGACAGCAGGCCAGCAAAACAAAGGGCTTCCTGCAGCTGGTTAGGGCAGTCTGCAGTGAGCCGCCTCCCTGCTCCAGAGCAAGGGCTTTCAAAGCCCAGTGCAATGCCGAGATTCATCTCTCCCTGAAGGCAACTGAAAACCGTTGTGCTGCCATTCTGGGCTCACCCGATTCCTTTGTGTTCCTGGTGAGTGACAAAGCTCGGGGCAGACCCAACACATTTAACGTTACAAACCAGCAAACTGGGTTCCTCCGTACACACTCAGCACCCTACCTTACGGTCTCACTGTACGGTGTGCAACTGTTCACTGCACTTGTAGCTTCACGCTTATTTAAATACACGTCACCTTCCTACTCGTGTTTTCTGGTGAATAAATGGAATTATTGTCAGCTGGTTTATTCATTAAATATGGTTTTATAGAACATTTTCTTTCCTCAAATCATTTATCTGTTATTTATCTTGCTATTTACAACCAAAATTATCTTATTTGGTTGCATTACCTGCATTATTCTCTCTTTCTGTCTCCCTATGGAAAAAGTAAAGCCAAGTCACTTTTCCAGCTGGGCATGTCTGGTTTCCTTATGATTTTCTTTACGTGTGGCATCCCTGACCTTTCAGAGGTCGTTAGTGTTAGTGAGATGATCTGTGACTGCAAACAGGGAGGTCGCGGGGAGACAAGGGAGTTGCTAAGTCTGGGTGGCTGAGAGGTTCACCAGGGGACACAGTGGTGAAATTGGAAGTTAATTCTTTGAATTATCCAGTGGAAGAAAACCAGACTAGTTATACAGCAAGAGAAGCCAAAACACTGCTGGAACGATGGACTTCCGCTAGAGAACTTTGGCTGGTTTACGTCCCACTGTGGCCAGGCAGGTGCCCGTGCTGGGACAGCCACACCTCATTGTACATGGTGCTGTGCCACGGCTGCCGGCGGCATCCCCACCGCAGGAACCCGGTCGCTGATCCGGGTCTCTCCCAGCATTGTCACCCTTACCCTAAACTGCTGTGAGTGTTCTGTGTAACGCGCTCGCACAACAGGTATTGAGCCAAATTGAGTTTGCAGTTACGGTTTTCCTATTAAACTTCCACCTTTTAGCTCATAGCGGAGTTTGTCCCTTTATTTACCACATTCATCCTTGTATTCCATGCACGCCGAGTCCTGCCAATTCCTTGGAATATCCAACATACTCGTAATAAACAGCATTTTGTGCCAGATGTTTGAAGCCACACGGGCTGTGTGAGGCAGGCAGCGTAGCACAGGGCACTTGGCAATTTAATTAAGACTCTCAGCTATAAGCCTTCTAAACATTCTGTGAGGAAGCATGTAATCTCACAGAACCCAGAAGGAATTAAATACAGAGATTATATACTTAAGGCTATTTGTCCTAGATTTTTATAGAAAAAGAGCGTAATGTTAAGGATTTCCCACAGAAATTATCTCTGAATTTCTTTAAACCCATCAGAGGTGAAAAGACTAAACTGCAGCAACGGTGGTTCCTCCAGCAAACCCGCACGTCGTGGGGCAGGCTGGCTGGGGGTAGAGACCCCGGAGCCCACCTCGGCAGGCAGCCCAGCCCCCAGCCCTCCACCCCCCGCTGGCAGCATGCTGGGGGGCAGCTCACCCCAGTTTATCACAGAATCACAGCACGGTTTGGGTGGGAAGGGACCTTAAAGCCCTCCCAGTGCCACCCCCTGCCATGGGCCGGGCCACTTTCCACTAGACCAGGCTGCAAGTAAACTGGAACCCCCCATACAATCACAGTCCTTTATTTCCATGTAATATAAGCCATTTAGACCTTAACTTCTCGTTCTGCATCCAATGTTCCTCCGACCTGTTCTTGCAATAGGGCGTAAGCGCGTTGCAGAGCCTGGTACTCCATCGTCAACTGCCGAAACCGCAGTTCTGTCTCTTCCTTGGCCATGCCCTGGGATTGAAAACAAAGATGTGTTGCACCAGTGGCCTTTGTTTCTGCGATGAAAATAAATTGAAAAAAGGCAAGGGAGCTTTCTCTAAAAAGTGTAAAGATTACTTTCAAAATGCAACTGTCGTAGGGAAAAGTCATCACATTGAAGGGTGAAAATACCGCTTTCTTGAAACAACAGAAGATTCTGATGAGGAGAATAAGCCAAGCCTGACACTCTCACTCAATTATTAAAACACTGATCTAGAATTAATACTTGTAGAAACGGTGTCACCAACATGAAAAGAGCCCTTGATCTTCCCCACTCGCCTTCCACAGCCAGCACTGAACGCTTTCATGTCAGCCTGAGCGGAATATTTCCCGCGACATGAAACAGAACGATACTGCTGGCTGCATGCAGAAACTTTGTACTGTCTGAACAGGAGAAAACCAACGTCAACCCAAGAATGACAGATAAATAGGTTCATACATATAAAAATGCATCCCGACCTCCTGCAGCGCAGCACAGCCCTGGGAACCAGTCGTGTGTCTTGTATGAGGGAGGGAGGGAGGAATGCTCCCTTCTGATGGACCTAATTACTGCCCTCGAAACAGGCGAGATGGCAGCTGGAAACCTGCAGCCAGGATACCACTAAAAGCCTGCAAGTCATTATTAGGAGGTTTTTGTTTATTACAAGATCCTTGTTAAACAGAAACATGTAATGGTACAGCGATCCGACACCCACTCAGGAATGCACCTGTAGGAAGCCCTGCAAAATGCCAGGAATAGTCACTTTTATTTGTGTTATCATCTACTTTTGTGTGCTCTGCATTCAAAGTCTGCTAGCAGACTCCTGACCTCCATACCCCACAAAGAGACAGCCTTTCCTCCGGAGAGCCCTGCGTGCCCGCCTTCCTCTGCTTCCACCAACACCAACCTTACGGCTGAAGGCTGCGCCCTGTGCCGGGGTCGGAATGGCAAGGGAAGGGCCTGAGCCAACCTGCACACAAACCTGCAGCGCCCCTCCACGAGAACAGCTCTGCCTAGGGTCATCCAATGTCTCCAGACCTGCTCCCTACAAACCTGTCATAAATCTAGTTCTTAGGACATAACAATTCCAGCTTGGCTAAAAGTTGTGAAATTACTGCATACTTGAGGTCCAGAGATATGAACCAACACACACAGCATCAATTTTTAGTTTTCTAGTCAGAGGTGACGAATGGTAAAACAGACGTGGAATTTAATTCAAAATTAGTAGCAAGGTTTCAAAACAAAAATAACACGTATTTTTTGAGGAATACCTCTTCCAAGTCATCTTCAGGGGTGCAAGGGGTTTGATCTGTCCGGTCAGTTTGGTATGAGATAGAGGAACCATCAGACTCCAAGGAAGCTTCTTCATCGTAGCCGAAAAACGTCTCCACAACCGGCTTCTGACAGAGACAAGGCATCAGTGAACGCAGCCGTGACGCATGACCGCCATGTAGTACGCAGCCGGG